ATTAGGTACATTCCTTCAACCTCAGTGGAGGACTGTGCAAGCGTACTACTCAGAGAATCTCTTCCTACTGACGATCCATCAGCTCTTAAATCTTGTTGAGGATCCCTGGTATGTGACCAGTGTCTTCTCTGTTTCTCCTTTCAAGATTCTCTCTTTGGCCTTTGACAGTTTGAGTATGGCATGTCTACGTGTGATTTCATTTTCAGTTACACTTTTCACCTCCAAAATTTCTATGCATTTCCTTTTTTTATCAGTACTGTCTCTTTATCCATGTCCCCTGTGTCATGAGAGCTTGTTCACCTGGCTGTCTTCAGATCTTTGCCCGTGATTTCTTTTAGCTCCTTGAGCATACTTAAGACAGTTGATTGAAATTCTTTGCCTGGTAATTCCAATGTCAGGGTTTCTTTGGGGGCAGTTTCTGTTAATTTCTCTTTTCCTACGAATGAGCCGGACTTGCTTGCTTCTTTTAATTTTTGTGGAAATTGTACTTTTTTAATGTTATAACTGGCAACACTGGAAATCTGATTCTCTCCCTTCCCTGGTGTTTTCTGTTGCTGCTGTTTATTATAGTTGTTTATTTAGGGAACTAATTTTATAGTCTGTATCATTTTTCATGGGTGGTCTGAATTCTCTGTTCCCATAGTGGTCAATTAATGATGAGACAGAGGTTTCCTTAGATGCCCTGAACGACAAAGCTTCTAATCTTTGAGGAGAAGTTTTGTGCGCTTGGTGAGGCACCTGTTTAACATGCAGCCACATGCTTTAGAACCCTACCTTAACCTTCACTTCCGGCTTCTTCAGAGCCTCAAGGTCAGCAGCAGGTTAATCCTTAGGACACTCTTGTAGTCGTTCCTAAGAGCATGCGTACATGCCTGAGTATGCACGTGGACTTCCATCTTTCCAGAAATTCGTCATAGCTTTTCACAGTCCTTATAGGTATCTCGTTACCCAGCCTTTCCTCCCGAGCTTTGAGGTTACTCTTCAGTTGGCTCCAACCGTTACCTATCACCTCAAGCAGCAACTAAGACGTTAGCCTGTTAGCTTGTAAAGTTTTCTTTTTTTTTTTTTTTACGTGTATTTATTTATTTTTGAGAGAGAAAGAGCACAAGCAGGGGAGGAGCAGAGAGAGAGAGGGAGACACAAAATCCAAAGCAGGCTCTGAGCTCTGAGCGGTCAGTGCCGAGCCCGACACGAGGTCCGAACTGTGAGATCATGACCTGAGCTGAAGTCAGAAGCTTAACCGGCAGAGCCACTCCGGTGCCCCAGTTTGTAAAGGTTTTCGACAAATGGCTTTCGGGAAGCAGATGTAGCAGTGGGCCAGGTCCAAGTTAGGCGAAACAAAGACAAGCTTTTGAGCCAGTCTTCCAGGGAACCACCATACAATCAGAACAAATAATGAATTATAGTTCTTTGTGAATGAGGTTCATTCTGCTTCCTCTGGTACTAAGAATAAGTACTACTGAAATGGGGAGTCAAGAATGGGGTTGGGATAAGTTAAAACACCGCAAAGCTCATTATCGTTACCAAGAATCAGCCATTTTTCTTGAATAACTATTCTCTGAGTCACTATAAGCCTTTGGTTAATTTCCAGAGTTTCAAAACATTGCTTCTCACAGATTTGGCCCATTTTTGTGCTGCTTTTATAGAAGGATGGAATTTAGAGGGCTTTATTGCATTGTTTTGTGACCTCCTCACCATATTTTTTGACATATTTTTGCAGCATATAGTTTCCAGCTTGATATTTTTTTTTCTTTCAGTACATTAGAGATGGGTCTTCTAGCTTGCATTGTTTCCAACAAGAAATATGCTGTCATTCTCACCTTTGTTCCTCTGTTCACAATGGGCCTTTTATTCTCTCTGGCTACATTGTAAGTTTCTCTTTACCGCTGATTTTAAGAAATTTCATCGTAATGTGACTTGGTGCGGTTTTGTGTGTGTGTGTATGTGTTTTGTTGTTGCTGTAGTCAGTTTTTGGTTTCATTTGCTTTGATTTGGGGGGGGGTGTGTGTGTACTTGGGTTTCATTGAGCTTCTTGGATCTATGGGTTTATCATTCTCATCAACTTGGAAAATCTTTCAGCTGTTAGTTCTCTATATATATTTGGCTCCCTCCTTCCTTCAGGGGCTCCGAATGAAGTTACATTTAACTATTTGAATTTGTGCCACTGGCGGGCTCACTCGTGCTCTGTTCTTTTGCTTTGTTTTGTTTTGTTCGGTGTTCTTTTTTTCCCCTATGCATTTGATTTTGGATGGTTTTGATAGTCATACATTCAGGCTCGCTAATCTTTTCTTCTGATCAGCTGTCTGATCAGCTGTTAATCCTAGACAGTGCATTTTCATTTCACACAATATAGTTTTCGTCTCTAGAAGTTCAATTCAGATATTTTTTTAAGATCTTCTGTGTCTCTAATTAACATATTCAATCTTTCCTCTAGTTTCCTGAACACATGGAGTATAGTCATGACCATCGTTTAATGTCCCCATCTACTACTTCTGTCACTCGTGTCATTCCTGGGTCAGGAATGATTGATTTTTTTCCCCCTCATATGGGCTGCATTTTTCTTCTTCTTTGCCTTCTTAATAATTTTTTGTTGAATGCTACACATCATAATTTAACTTGTTGGATATATCGCAGTCTTACAAATACTCTCGAACGTTGTTTTGGGGCACAGTTAAGGAACTTGGAAACAGTCTGATCCTTTTAATGTTAGGTAGGACTGGACAGTCATGTAGTGTAGGGTCAATTTTTCTCACTTCTGAGGCAAGACTTTTCTTAGCACCTTTGGGATGTCTTATGAATTCTGAGGTATTCTACTCTGGTTTTGAGAACAGGCACTATTCCAAGCCCTGGGTGAGCTTCGTGCACCATCGCCCCCTCTAATCCTTTTGAATGGCTCTTCCTCTGGCCCCTGGTAGTTTCTCACATACAGTACTAGGCTAAATACCTGACCAGCGCCCTCTGCATATCTCTGGAGTTCTCTCTTCGTACAATTCACTTGTCTCCGGCACTGTGCCCTGAGACTTCTAGCCACTTTGGCTTTACCAGACTCCCAACTCCATCCCAGCTTAGGGAGACTTCTGGTCTCTGCCTAGCTTGTCTCTCCATGCATCATGTCCCTCCAGGCAGTAAGCTGTGGCCATCATAGGGCTCACCTGATTTGTTTCCCACATCTCAAGGATCACTTTCCTGATGGTCAGAGTCTGAAGTGCCACTGTGTCATTTACTATTGTCCTTCTTTTGTTGTTGTTAAAGCAGAAAGGTAAGTCAAGTCCCTGTTACTCCATCTTTTTTTTTTAATAGAAATATAGTTGACACACAATGTTATATTAGTTTCAGGTGTATAACATATTGATTTAGCAATTACATACCTTACACAACACTCACCACAATAGCTATCATTACCATATGTCACTGTACAAAATTATTACATAATGAATAGACACGTCACTGAAAAGTAAACACAAATGGATTTTAAATGTCTGAAAAGGTTCTCATAAGCTCACTAATAATACGAGGAATGAGTATTAAAATTCAGATTACTGGATATAACTATTCCATCGACAAAGGTTAGTAAGTGTAATAACACTTTGGTAAAGATATAGGAAAATACATTTCTCAGACATTGTAAAATTAATCATCTCAATTAACCATCAGCTCATGGCAACTTAGCAAAACCTATCAAAATCTCAAATGCACACACACTTTAACCCACCAGATCCATTTCTCAGAATCTATCCTACAGACATGTTCTCGTATGTATGCAGAGATGAACGAACGACATCATTGTTTATGATGGTAAGAGATTGGGAACAATTTAAACATCCATCAATATGAGACTTGTTAAGCTATGTATGTTGTAATTGTAAAAAGAGAGAGAGGGATGTTATTATGTATTAATACATATAAGGTATGTTATTAAGTGAAAAACAAAAGGGGCAGTAGTATTGGAATGAAAACTAAAAAGTCAGGAGGAAAGAAACCTTAATATTCATAGTATATTCTCGTGTAATTTTAAATTTTTTTTTCCAACGTTTATTTATTTTTGGGACAGAGAGAGACAGAGCATGAACGGGGGCGGGGCAGAGAGAGAGGGAGACACAGAATCGGAAACAGGCTCCAGGCTCCGAGCCATCAGCCCAGAGCCCGACGCGGGGCTCGAACTCACGGACCGCGAGATCGTGACCTGGCTGAAGTCGGACGCTTAACCGACTGCGCCACCCAGGCGCCCCTCGTGTAATTTTAATGTTTTGTCTTGTATGCATAATTGTTGCACTTATAGACAAAAACCCAGTTGAAAATAACCGATTTCCAAATATATTATTCCAAAATCGCTGTTTTCAGTTTAATGATCAATAATAAAAGATAGTTTTATGAAGACCAATCTAACTCTAGATGTAGCACGATTGGGGGGAAATGGTAGATTTTCATTAATAACCCCAGTTCTTGGTTCCTCCTCGTATCCATGCCCTTTGTCTTTCTCAGATAACTTGTTCAGGGGTCTCTCACTATGGGTGGCACATAATTCCCCACTCCTGACATCCATGTGGCTGGCTTTGGCCAATACCATGAGACTGAGGGTGGAGGTGAGCTCTAAGCCTGGGCTTCGAGAGACTGAATTTCAGTTTCCTCCCTGTGCTTCCGCTTTCTTCATGAAAAAGACAAGCCCAGGCTCACCCACCGGTCCCAGGAGGGGAACGAAAGCCGGACGGATCAGATCTATTCCAAATGAGACTGCTTGGCCATGCTTAGCCCGGAGCAAAGCCCCCTGGTGACCCGCAGACACATGAGCAAGCCTCGCCAAGCTCGGCCAAGCCCTGGCTCATGACCTATGAGCTCTAATAACGAATGACCGCTGTTCTTGATGGTTGTTACGGTGGTTTGTTACACAACAACTGCTAACCAACTGGGCTGGTGTCGAGGTGTTTGAGATATTACCCTGGGTGATGTATGCTGAGACCAGAGAGAGAAAGTTGAAAGACCTTTACAGTTTTGTTACTTACCGTTCCCTGGGAGAACACAGCGCACCATGCAGGGCCACTCAGGGAAGCACCAGGTTTGGTCAGGAGGCAAAACGAGAAAGCAGAACTGTGGGCTCTGTGGCTCCTGAAGGAAGGAAGGGGCAGGCAGGATAAGCAGGTTTAGGACTGGCCAGTGTGAATAATTTCTGGGGCATGGAGTCTGTCCTTGACTGTTTGGTGCCTGGCCCTGGGAAATTGGGGCAGCCGTACGGTAGCCCGTGTGTGTGGTGGCCCAGGTGCAAAAACCTGATAGGATCGAGGGTGGATTTAGCTGATCAGGAAGAAGAACTAACCGGCTTCTAGTTAGGACCTCAAAACTGGGTCAGGGGAGTGTCTTTTAAAACTGCAATACACAGGGTCATATCCCCTGTGGTCTTCCGGACTTTTTCCTGTAGGATATGTGCCAAGCAGAAGCCAGAAGCAGGAATCGTGAGGAGAGGGAGGAAGCCGTATCACTTTTTCTGACTTAGCCTTGGAAGTAATAGTTCCCGTCTTCTATGTTCTGTCCCTTAAGGTAGTGGCAAAGTCCCACTGGCGCAAGAGGAGGGAAAATGAAGCATCTCTTGGTGACGGGTGTCCAAGTGCCGGTAAAGCACGTGGACCAGAAACATTTCTGTGCCGAGTTTTGGAAAACACAATCTGCCACGAGGGGGTGGAGAGAGAAAAGTTGAAGACGGGAGGGGAGCACAGGAGCGATGAGGTGGGGGTGTCTCTTAGGCGGGACCGTGCAGAGGGGCATGAGTGAGTTCAGCCGCGAAGAGCCCAAGGGAGGAAGCCGGCAGTCGGTGCCCCGTCCGTGGTGGAAGCGATGCTGGGAGACGTGGTAGGCAGCTGAGGGCTCCCACATCCTGCCCGACAATGTCATCTTCTGTAAAGGCATCTGTGCTACTGATGCGGGGGGGGGGGGGGGGGGTGCGGAGGTTGATGGTTTAACAGGAGTTGAGGGAGTCAGAGGTACCTGAAGCTGTATCGGGTCCCGGCTGGGGTGCATGGCTCAGGCTGGCTGGCAGGAGGGGCCAATCCGACTGCTGCCAAGGGCATGGAGGGGGGGAGCCAGTAACATCCCTCGTGTTTCTACCAGTGAGGTGTGGAGCTGTGCTCAGACAGGGGGTGAGGGAAAGACCCCGGCACACAGCCTCGCCCCCTCACACCTCAGTTTCTATATCCGCAGAACGTTCACTGCCTGCTTCTCAAGGTCACTGGGAAGATTAAGCACAACGACAGCCCTGAGCTGCCTGCCGGGCACCGGGTGCTCCGCACAGAGGCCACAACTGCTGTGCTTGGGTAGCTCGTGGACATCCTTGAAGGAAAAGGAGCTGAGCGTCCATTCCTTGGCCAGGGACAGACTGATTCTCAGGCGTGGAAAGTATCTCGTGACACGAATGCCTGGGAGCATTTAGGGGGAAGGCGACCAAGTTTGACGGGGGAGATGCCCCACTTCCTGCTTTGCACCTGACAGAGCTCAGAGCCTCCCACTCACAGCCGGAGGGCTTGCAGCCTGGGTTTCCCGGAGAAACCAGCTCGTTGTTGCTGCAAGGGAAGTGCGTCTGTTTGAAGCTAAGACTGACATACAGCCCCAGATTCGGGCTGGAAAAAAGCCAGGAGGCTTGCTCTTCCCCCTGTACCGGGGCCTCCGTGCATTTACTCTCTCCATGTCCCTTCTCAGAAGCCAGGCTTGGGGGGGGCCCGACTCCTCTGCCGGCTGCTGGCTGGCTGGGCAGGGCGGGGCAAGGTAGAACAGGGGGACAGGGAACAAAGCAAGCAGCACTCAAACATTGTGACAGTCCCAGACGCAAGCGCTCGAGAGCACGCTCTTGGCCCTGATTCTGTTTTAAGCTGTGAGCCAAAAATGTGTCTCATCCAGATGGGAAAATCTGTCTAGAATAGCAATTGTCTGCACCCACACGTACACACACACACACACACACACACGCCACCACCACCACCGCCAGCACCAGCCCCATCAAATTTAGGGGGCTGTGCATTATGCCTGGCCAAGTAGCAGGTGCTCGGCTCCCAGGCCCTCCCTGCCCTTCCCCACACCCCGTCCTTCTGCCCCTCGGGGGCAGCTCCCGGTTCACTCTGGAAGACCGCAGCGTTCACCAAAGATTTTGTTGTTACTTCCTCCAAAGCACATGTCCGACTTCGTTCAAAAGCCTTTCTGGAGCACTTTGCCGTGGGTCAAGCCCCATGCTTACCGCCAGGACAGGCCTCCAGAAGCTCTGGATCTAGAGCTGTGCTGTCCGACAGAACGTTTTGGGGCAATGGCGACCTTTTAGACCACAGAACCCCCAGCCACGTGTGGCTACAGAGCCCTGGAAGTGTGGCTGGTGTGACCAAGGAACCGAATTTTCAGTTATGTTTCATCTGAGCTGATTTTACTTAAAATCCCCATATGTGGCTGGCGACTGCTCTGCTGGGCAGTCCAGGCTAGATGGGGACAGGCGGGCGCACTAAAGCCCTATTCCGCCTCTGCCAAAACGGCGCAATCGAGGTGCGGAGACCGCCTGCCGGGAAGAAGCGCGGCAACCCCTCCCCTGAACAATAGGAGAATTTCCATGTGGGGGGTTAGGGAAGTCTTCCTGGAGGTGGCGGCCTGGAGGCGGGGAAAAGAGGATTAAGGGAAGGAAAAAGTTTCGACAGGTGAGTCTGGCTGGGAAAGGGACTTCCAGGCAGAAACTAGCAATGGGCAAAAGTGCAGACGCTGGAAAGTGCAGTAAACCCTCGGAACGGGTAGGAAAGACAGTAAGTGCCTTGGGGGCAGAGGAGTCTGGATAAGGGATAGCCTGATCAGCAGGCTGGTGTCCAGGTGCCTCTGAGCAGTGGAACGACGTGGCCAACGTGAGCTTTAGGAAGCAGACGGTGTGGCTAAGCCACAGATAAGCCACAAAGCTGAGCAGCCCCGGACGGGGCGGGTGCTGGTCCGCAAACCGGCGCCGGTATACTGAGGGCGGTGTGTCCAAGGATTTCAACGACATGTTGCTCTCTCAAGGCAGTGTCCTTGAAAGCCACTCCCACCATGGGAAAGATGGTTGAAACGAACATTCCAAGGACAGGGGAAGGGGTAGAGGAACCAGATCCAGCTTGGAGGTCATCCTCTCCATGACCGCCTCCAACAGGGCACCGTAGTCCAAATGAGAGGGAATGAACACTGAGTCAGGACGGAGGAAACGGTTGGGGGGCAGGGGAGTGTGGACTTGTCTTCCAAGGACACTCCTGGCACCTCCTACTTTGTCCCACATCCCTAGCACCCGGCTACATTTCAGCCCATGAAATCGACTGTCAAAGCACGTAGTAGGTGTCCAATAAATGTTTGCGGAAGGGTGGATGACATTGAGCCATCTCTCAGGCTGGGTGATCGATTACAAATTAGCTTTGGGAATAAAACCGAGTTGGAGATTCATTCCCTCGGTCTCCAGATAGCTCCTGGGTGCCTACTGAAGGATGCGCGCAGAGGCACGGGGGATGCCACAGTGGAACAGCCCAAGTCCTGCCCTCGGGGAGGTCACAGTCTTGTTGAAGGACGCAACCAGCCTCTTCTGAGACTCATGACTGAAGGGAAAAGGGCCCTTGATGGAAAATGAGAAATCAGGACCAAAACATGGCCCAAGGGGCAGAGCACTTATTTGGGGCACTTGAGTTTACTGTGCCACTGACACTTCAAGGCAGAAAAGGTCAGCAGGTCCTTGGAAGAGGTGCTGGGGCAGGAAGACTTGCTATGAAGTCACGAGCACAGCAGGGAAACCGAGGCTGCAGGAATGAGGGAGATGTTCAGGCAGTAGGATCAGAAGAGTGCAAAGGGAGGCAGAAGAGAAAGCTCACTGGACAGCCTCTAGGTCCCCCGCAGCCAGCCAGCTGTCCGCACCCCACTTTCAGCGGTAGAGTCAACCGGATGCCATCAACCCTCAGTCCCCTCTCCACAGCCCAAAGTCACCATCACAGGCTCCGCCCTCTGCACTTGGGCCACTGGGGCTAAGGGCTCCAACCAGAGTCATTCTGCCTCAAGGGTTGCTCAGCAAAGCTGAGGCCTTTACCTGGTGCTACAGGCTGAGCCGTGGCCCCCCAAATTCATAGATTGAGGTCCTAATCCCCACTGCCTAAGAATGTAACTGTATTTAGAGATAGGGCCTTTTAGGTGAATTATGGTGGGCTCTAACCCAGTATGACCGGTATCCTTACGGAAAGAGGAAATTGGGACACAGACACGCAAAGAGGGGAGACCATGCAAAGATACACAGAAATGACAGCCATTTCCAAGCGTAGGAGAGGAAGCTTCCAGAAAAACCAAACTGCTGGCACCTTGATCTCTGACTTCCAGCCTCCAGAACTGTGAGGAAATGCATCTCTGTCGTTTCAAGCCCTCAGTCTGTGGTACCTTGTTATGGGACCCTGGCCAACTCATTCACCTGGTTGTCATCAGTGGCGGGGGGAGGTTTAGTCGAAATGCCTCTAGTTCCCTCCTGTCAGACAGCCCCCTCCCGCTGCGCAGTTTCCCCCCACCCCCAACCCCCACTCTCAACCCCCCCTCCTCACCCTGACCCCATAGGCCCGCTACCGTCCCTCAGGATGAGACAGGGATTTGTAGACCCTTCAGATGGCAGGCTCTCACTTTATTTGTTTAATTGACTCCCATAAAAAGAGTAGACAAAACAGTGTTTGTCCTTTGGCAAAGACTCCTTTTCAGACATATTTGTGGATTGCAGTTCGCTTGAACTAAACGGCGGTGGTTTGATTTCACCTGGACACCCCCGGACAGCCCGTGCACTCTTTTCCCTTTAAATTAAGTGCAAAGGAACAGACGGAATGAGAAATCCAACCACATGTACCTTCTTCCTTTATATCCCAGCCCTCCACACACACACACACACACACGCGCGCGCGCGCGCACAGCCAAGCATTCAGAGATGCTATTCTCTACTCCTGGCAAGAGTCCTGCTCACTCGAAAGCTGTGCCCTTGGTGCCCAGGCCGCATTCCCCCTCCTCAGCATAGATGGCCTGACAGCCCGGCATCTCCAGAGTCTACTTTTGTTCTAACAGGATCTCTGCTGCTTTAAAATTTTTATTTGCAAGCCCTTGATAGGAGGAAAGTGCTTCCAGGAAAGCACTTCAGTTACCAACCTAGATCTCCCTGAGAACTCTAACCCAATTTGGGTTCTTAAGGTCTGGGTTTTGATGAGCCACAAGAGCTGATGACGAAACTCAGTGATCCTGCGGGTGGTTCTGAGGGCTCAGGTGTGTGTCATCAGGGACACAAAGTCCGGGATGACCAGCTGCCTTTCATGCAGCTCTTCTGACGTCTCAGAGCCCTAGCAGAAGGGCTAAAGTGTTTTTCCCCTACGTCTGCCCCAGAAGCTCTGAAAAAGCTTGAAAAAAAGTTGAAAAAGTCACCCACCTCATCTGTAGTTCCGTTTCCTCCCTTGTGAACTCGGTAGCATTCAGTGTGAGGGACTCTTTCCCTCCCTTGGATGTGCCAGACCCCCTGTATTGTCCCCAGGGTCCTCCCTCAAGGCCAACAAGACCACCAACGTGGCGGCAAGAATCCCCAACATCGTAGCTCTCACCAAGACAACGGACTTTGTGAACTGTGACAAAAAACAGATGCTGCCCCCTCCTTCCCCTCAGTGCCAAATTAACACCTGCAAGTCGGCAATCGAAAAAGCCAAAGGACTCCAGACAAATGGAAACACGCTGACGTCTGCTTGAAGGGAAACTGAATGGAAGGGGAGATTGGTGGAGTAGAAGATCGAAGAATAGTGTTTTGATTCTCAAGAAAACCTCCACCCTTTCTGTCTCTATATCCAAACTAACTTCTCTGTGGTCCCCATGCACTGGGGCTGGAGCAGGTGGGTAGTCCTGAGGGACAGGGCTGACTGGAGCTCCCAGAGCCTTAGTCTCCCTGGGTGGGATGGGGATGGTCGTGGTGGTAGTTACGTGAGCCAGTACTGAAGTACTTTTTCACTAAGTGACAGCCGTTATGATTGTCGTAGCTCTTTGCCTTGTCTTAAGCCCCGCAGCTAGATGAGTGTCTCTTCACAGCTCAGGACAGATGCCAGGGAATGTAGCAGGAGGGTATCATCAGTGGGGAGACTCAAGGTCAAGGTTGCTGCCAGGGGGTTAGAAGGTGTAGAGCCAAGAGTGTTAAGAGCAGGAGAAAGAGCCACCCGTGGCTCCCCCTTGACCCAGCACATTGGCGGGGAGGAAGCTCAGGAAGATTTGAACAGGGGCCTCCTAACTACTGGAATATAATCTGGAGAGGGATGTGGATATGTACTCTTTTTGCAGGTTTGGGGCAGAGCATTTAGGTAACAATACAACGTTGTGGTATTTCTCTGGTCCTTTTTCCTCACACATCTGTCTCCTTCAGGGTCCTTGCAGGACAGGATTCCAGGATTCATAGATCCTCCTGCCATAATGACCATCTCAATGCCTAACATCTTAAATTCCATCTCTCTCTCTCTCTCTCTCTCTGACACACACACACACACTCACTAAATTATCCCTGGCCTTCTCCAGCAAGCTGATCTGGGGTCTGGGATGCCTTGAACTTCCTTTTGGACCAACACCATGCAATTGCCAGACATCTGTGTCCCTGGGATCATCCTTAAGTTTATGACCCAAAGGATGGGCAAATCCACACAGCAGGTACAGTGGCCGCTCTCCCTGCAGCCACAAATATCTTTCCAAAGCAACTGAGACTGGCTTTGCCTGATCTTGTCACTCTAAATATGCTTTGGAGATCCTGACCGCAGAGCGCAAAGTCGGATGGCCGGCCAGAGGCCGTCTCCCCACCTGGCAACTTCTGTAACAGCACAGGGGTTAAGAGCTCATGGGAAGCCTCCCCGTTTAACCCGATAAACTTTCAGTCCTTCCCACAGCAGAGAAGCTGGGTCTGCCAACAACAGGAGATAGCTGATCCTCACTCCCACCCACCATCCGGGAAAATGTGTCGCCCCACTTGCTAAGGGGGAGGGAGAAGCCATCAGCAAGGTACCGGGCGTTCTTTAGGTGGGTTGTTGTCTAGAAACGTCTCCTGGTGCTGCAGAATTCTCTGTTCTCTGCCTGACACATCATCTGGCCCTCCTCAGTGGTGCTGCGACCTGAATGACTGATAGGACCTTTTGGGGGGAGGGGTTGCCCTTGGGAAGCGGGGTACTGTCACCGCTGTATCTTTGAAGTGAGACGTAAGATTGAAATTTGGCTCCTTATACTAGTTATGGGAATTCAGACACGCTCTTTAAGGCCTCTGAGCCCATTTGGGCATTTATAAAATGGAAATAAGGACACGAGCTTGTAGCTTGTTTGTAATTGCATTATACTCCCTTATTCCCTGCTTTTCTTCCATCGATGGACCAAGAACGGGAAAAGATTTCAGGCAACAATCTGTTTCCAGCGCAGGGAGGGGTAGTCACGAGTAGAGACCAGCTCTGGGGAAAGAGCTGGGGCAGCTTTTGTGTGCCCTTTACGGAGGTGGGGACATTTCTAAGAGGGCTTTGTTTCCAGGGACTCAACCTTCTTTTAGAGACCGAGGCTATTTTTAACCCAAGTTTTAGTGATTCTGCAGGACAGCTGTTTCAGGGAACTATGTAGGCCAGTCCGTGATATTTGGAGTCATGGTTTTAAGGTTAGGGAGTGGGATGGGATGGGGAAGAGCTAGAATAAGTCTGGAGTTTCCGGAGGCATCCACAGAGATCTACACTTACCCTGAAGAACACTGTAACCCAAATTCACTTTGTGGCCACTCAAGTGTCTAGATGGGCTGAACAGAAGAACGTTCTTTCATTACACTTCAAGTTAAGTGTCAGCTTCTGCCCTCTCTCGGTCCCCATTTGCCATGACCAAATCACGACGGAGAACAGATCGGCAATGCCCATGTTGGAGAGGCTGTGGGAGAAGCAATCTCTCACACCCTGCGGTGGAAACAAGACCGGGACAGCCCCTCTGGAGGCACTTCGCCAACATTATTAAAATTAAAACTGGAATCACCTTTGAACTTGACATTCCCACTTTTTGTTTGGGGGGATTTAAAAAATTATTTATTATTATTTTAATTGTGGCAAAATGCACGTAATATACAATTTACTACCTTAAACTTGTGTGTGTGCAACCCAACAGCATCAAGTACATTCACATTGTGCAATCGGTCTCCAGAACTTTATCTTACTGAAACCCTCTACCCATTGAACAACACCTCCCTATGTCCCCTCCCTCCAGCGTCTGACAACCACCATTCCACTTTCTCTGTCCACGATTTTAAGCACGCTAGGTGATGCATGTAAGCGGATTCGTGTGGTATTTGTCTTTTTGCAACTGGCTTACTTCACGTAGAATGACGTCCTCAAGGTTCATCCATGTCATAGCGTGTGTCCGAATTTCCTTCCTTTTTAGGGCCGGATCATATTCGGTTGTATGTTTATTACCAGCATTCCTACTTTTAGGGATTTAAATTAGAGAAGCGTTACAGCCAGTGTCCAGGAGCATCTGGGACGGTGTAAAATTGGAAGGAACTCACGTATTCAGCTGGGGGCATGGCTAAAGACCATGAATATGGTCCAGTTTTTAACAAAGAGCTAAATGGAAAAATGGCAAACACCAATGGCTCACTGAAAACTCAAGCTAAAGTGGAGGCCGTATGGTTCAATTCACTTTCGGAAAAATAAATGCAAATTTAATTCCAAATTGGTGGTGCTGGTGACTGAGTACTCCGTAAGAGCTGGATTTTTATTTTTATTTTTTTTAATTTTTTTTTTCAACGTTTATTTATTTTTGGGACAGAGAGAGACAGAGCATGAACGGGGGAGGGGCAGAGAGAGAGGGAGACACAGAATCGGAAACAAGCTCCAGGCTCTGAGCCATCAGCCCAGAGCCCAACGCGGGGCTCGAACCCACGGACCGCGAGATGGTGACCTGGCTGAAGTCGGACGCTCAACCGACTGCGCCACCCAGGCGCCCCAAGAGCTGGATTTTTAAAAATAGTTTGGATTATATTTGCCGTCATAGGAAACAGTAAAGGTATTTTTGGAAATCGAGACGGAGGGATGCAGTGGACGAATACTTGTTCAAATAGACGGTCAGAGAAGAACGCGCTTCACCCGCTCAGGTGTTTCGGTGAGAGTGTCATATGGCCCATGCTGATGATAATCCAGTAAGAGAAGAGGCTCTTCTAGAAACCCGAGAGGCCGCGCAGATCTGCCTTGGTCCCGTGCTTCCCATCCTAGCTGAACCCCATCCCACTGGCATACACGTGCAGCCGGCTGTGAGGAAGAGGGACCCTCAGCGTCCTTCCTTCCTCCAGTCATTACAAGACTGGCCCTTTGTCCCCAGAGAGAATTTGAGGAGAACAAGGGCTCTCAGCTAAGAACAGTCAGGCCAAAGCATGTACATGTTGGTAGGAGCCATCCAGCCCCTTCCCTTCCCCCAACAGTCCTCAAGGGCCCCAAACACCACCCTAAATGGTTAACGCTGACAGCAAAGAAGTGGGATCCATGTCTGAGGCAGTTAGGAAAACAGCTGATTGTTCGTGATGGGTTTTTGGAAGGTCATCTGTCCCTGAGAATCCACCCTCTTGACTGGGGAGGTAGACACTAGCTACGTCCACGCCTGTCCAGCAGCGAGGTACACAGTGGGGGGAAGGACCACAAAGCAAGCTGGGGGTGGGGGTGACCACGACAGAGCTCCAGCCTGGGGGGGACCCCTGAGGTGGAAGAGAGTTAACACAGTAGGTCTGTTAGCTTTTGAAAGGCCTGCTCGGAAAGCTGCCCTTTGGCTGGCGTCTGGGAACTTGAATTTCTGGAAGGTTCCTGCCGTCCTCAGAATAGATAACCGCACCTCACAGTGCTCACTGTTTGTACACTGTAGTTCACGAGGAACACCTGCTTTCCGTCTGAGACTCTGGGACTTTGCTACGTGCTAGGCAGAAGACGCCTACGTGAGCAGCCCCCGTCAAAAACTCTGAGCACTGAGTCGCTAATAATTTTTGATCGGCAACAATTCACATGTGTTGTCACACTTGTCAGTGGGGGAATTAAGTGTATCCTGTGTGAGTTCACCGGGAGAGGACCCTCAGCGGCCTGCACTTGACATCCCCCTCGACTCCGCCCATGTGCCTTTTCCCTTTACAGATGGTGCCCCGTAGAGCTTTGGCTGGGTCCCGTGAGCCCTGCTAGCGTTCCCGAACATGAGAGTGCTCTTAGGGACCCCTTACACCTACCCCCTTCCCGGACTTCCAGGCAAGGCCTGGGACACCAAAGCCCCTGGACTGGGTGGGGCCTGAGGATTGAGGTCATCAGGGGAAATTGCTGACCATACTGCTGAATCCCATTCCTCTCTCCCCAGCCTCTGCACCCCTATGAGTCGAGGACCCCTATGAGTCGAGGAGGTAGATTCTCGGGAGTGGTTCTCTCCAGGGAGTTCTATCAGACAGCGTTGACCCAGAAGGTAGCAGGCTCATCTGGCCCAGTCATGAGCCTCCTGGACCTTGAGGCCTAGGACCAGAGGACAGAGGACTCTTTGTTTCCGGAGACTCAGCTGTCCTGCTCATCCAACGCAAGCAAATCCTGAGATCCCAGAACCAAGACCTGAGGGTGCTCGAACCCATGGCAAAAGCTACAGAGCCACCGGGCATCAGGGCATGCACAAAGGGCTCTGAGACCATTCAACTCCCCTAAAGGGGAAACTGAGGCCCCACTGGGTTATGTAAACGAAGCTGCCACCCACATGATATGCATTTCTATCACTGCTGTTTCTCCACGTCACCGCCTCTGTCCCACAGCAGACCCCGAGCCCCTACGGACTCAAGTGCCACATCTAGGCACTCAGTGATCTGACCACCCCAGGTTACACGGCTCAGTGGGGTCAGGAGAAGATTTGACCCCGGGTCTCCTGCCTCCCGGGGCAATGTTCTTGTTGGGGGCAGTCCCAATAGGCAGCAGTGACAAAACTCCCACAGTCCACACCCTAAACGCTCAGGAGACACAGGCAAGCCCTCAAGACAACGCAACTAGCTGTGAGTCCCCAGATGTCTTCATTTCAGAAGGCGTCAACCAGCTGGCCGGAGAGAACCAGCCCCAGGATCCACCCCTTGACTGAGCGGAGACCGGAAATAAGTCAACGGACAGCGCCACGTAAGAGAAATGATTTCACTTTATAAAAACGTGATAATACGGCAAGATTTGATTTTTTTTTCCGGCAAAAGTGAAATTTATAAAAACCACCTGGAATAAAAATTAGAAACAAGGAAATAGAGTCATTTAGAAAGACGATAAAGAGAAAACGCTAAGCAGCAAGAGCAGCAGCAACACGGGGGGGGAAGTTGGCTCTGCTGCGAGGACAGATCAGGGAAGGTCCGACGTAAGCCGAGCTTTCACACAGGCTGAGCTGGGGGGCAGGGCAGAGGGTGGGCAGGAAGCGTGAGCGGCACGAAGGCCTCCAGAATGGGACCATACGGATGGCCGCCGGCTCAGTGGGAGTTGGGGGTAAAGCAAGAGCCTCCTTCAACCAAGAAAGTGAGACACATAGGGCTACACACAAACACTTGTGGAATGTCTGCACCATAGCCAAGGCAGAGTTAGGACCACCTCGGAGAGGCAGGCTGGGAATCCCCCACAACACCCCCCAGGCTTGCCTTCTAGGGCAAAGGTCCTGAGGCTCCCACCCATAGGACGCTGGGGAGTTCTTGACTACATTCTGAGGTAGTCTCACCGTCACTCGCACAGGTAGCTGGAAATGGTCACAAAAAATGGGGAGAAGGAGGGCAGAAAAGTTGCACGGAGGCAAGAGGCCGTAACAGAAGGGCCCTTGCTGTAAGCAGGTTCGGAGATGAGCAGAGGGTGGCCTGGGGGTAAGCAGTGGCCAGCAGAGGGCCTACGTGGACCCTGGGCACAAGCAGCTCTTGTAACAAGAATAAAAATCAAAGGCATGGCTAGACTCCCCCTTTTAAGCTAATTTACATTCTTTCCCCCCACCCCCATCTGCCCCAGCACTCGGAATTCTAAGTCAGGATGGAATGTTCTGAAGGCTCAGGAGGCAGCAGCTGAGCGGACATTAGTATTTTCTCGGCTTTCCACCTTTCCGCGAACGCCTTCGAGGACGGAGTTCACCAAAGTCCTCGGCTTCATTTTCGTAATCATCTTCCTGGACGATACCTGTTTCAAAAGCCAAAAAGAAACAAACACAACACTGGGAACAAAGCACAGAACGGTGTTTTTTTTTTTTTTTTTTTTTTTTTTTTTTTTCACACCACTGTAAAACAGAACGTGCTAATAAAACCTAATGTCTCTGTAATTGTTTTAAATTAAAGGGCAAAAAAGCCTGGGTCAGAGCCAAAGGAAACACCCTTCTCTAGAATTAAGTTCTTGTACAGGCTGGTGCCTCTGCCCTGATTTCAGAGACCCTTTACATGGCAAAGAAATCAAACAAAAACCCAAATTCAACCACAAACTTGAGTTGGTATACCAGTCATCTCCCTTTTGAAACAATCACAAAAATCATGGTCCTGGCAGGGAATATATTCTAAGGATGTTTTTCCCCGACACAGATATTTGTGCCAAGTCCCTTTTAGTTTTCCCCAGCTCTGGGGTCTAGATTTTCCAGTAGCATCTGGATTAGGAGGACCCACAGAAGGGCAACCTGGGGCACATGAAATATACGGAATAAGAAAAAAATAAGTCTGGCCAAGAGGGGGTGGCAGTTGGGATGGGCAAGAGGGATGATACAGAATTTGGCAAGATCGTTCTGTCAGGAGAGAAACCTGACTCACTCCGTACAAGCCCTTAACCCTCTAGGAAGGGGCGTGTAAGTCTCCCAGTGATTTTGTTTTGCTCACAAATGCGTTGGCGTTATATCCCCAAGGCCAAAACAGCGCTGATACATACTAGGCCCTCAATAAATATTCGCGGACTTACATGAATGGTTGACAGAGGCGACCCTGTTTGCCAAAAGACAGCCCTTCAATACTTCGTCTACGCGTGGGAGTCACTGTATTGAGCATGAGTAGTGACTGGGTGTCATCGATAGGAGCCCATGAGCGGCACAAGAGATTTTGGAAAAAGCAACTAACATGAGCCATCGGTCAGAGGGGGGGAACTCAGATGTTACTCGACTCACTGGGGGAAGATGACCCTAGACAGTGAGTGGACGTTATAGGTGACCCCACTCCGCGTTGACCTGGGAATCAGCGGAACCAAGAGCCACGAGACCCAGAGCATCACCCTGGGATAAAGGGCTCCTTACCTTCCTCATTTAAGAGGAGCTCTGCCTTCATCAGCCACGCCCGCGCATCCCTGACGGACGGGATCAGCAAGTTGACCAAATGAGCCATCACCTCCTCTGCTACAGGAACCAAAGAACAAGGGCTCTGAGTGAAGAAGGGGCTGCCGCAGGAACCAGACTAGTCAGTACTAGAGCCAAAGCCCCTACCTCCCAAGGGCCGTCTGTGTGCTTCCTCTGAGGGGGACGACGGGATAAGGACCCACAGCCACCTTCTGCCCCCTCAGACGTAAACTGCAATTAAATGCTAGCCTGACGCCATCACTGTGTGACGGGTAGAGACTGCCAACAGCAAACCTTTCAGGGAACCTCGTTCAGCATGTCATTAAATCCACAGACGGCTGAGCATCGGACTTCAGCTCAGACCGTGATCCCGCAGTTCACGAGTTCGACCCCTGTGTGGAGCTCTGCGCTGACAGCTCAGAGTTCGGAGCCCGCTTTGGACTCTGTGTCTCCCTCTCTCTCTGCCATTCCCGGCTCATGCTCTGTCTCTGTCTCTGTCCCTCCCCAAAATAAATAAACATCAAAATGTCCTTAAACCTTACACTGGAGTGTCTGGATGACAGAATGAGTTTTAAACACGAAACTTCACTTATTTGGTACGTAACACGACTTGCACTCAGTGCAAGTTGCTAGGAAATAGCGAACAAGGAAGTTAGAGGAAATCTGATTCAAAGGCCACATAAGAATTCTTACTGTTAAGGTCTCACGCCGGGTATGGTTTAAGAACCCTCCTAAAAAGGAAGAGACCAGCTATGCAGCCCCAGATCTTAGTCAAACGTTCAGAACAGAGTAGGCGCTCAAGAAATGGTCACTGGAGAACAGATGGGAAGCTTAAAGAGTTTCCTCGGGACGTTAAACGCCCTCCCCACGTCCTTGTCACAGAACTTGAAATGCCCTCCCGACGTCCTCGTCACAGAACTAGTGAGCAAGGCCCTCTCTTCTGTGTGGTGCCAGGGAAACCATCCCGACTCAAGATAACCACATGTTTTCATTGGGGTGGGGTGGTTCAAATAATGGGGGTTTGCCGTGATTTGAGAACGCCCGCTCCTCACTTGTATTTCTGCCAACGCCAAGCTCTGTCATTCCCAGGACTTGATCTGACATGTGTTCTCAAAGCCTGGGTTCTGACACCCTCCCCAGGGCCCAACTTCTGGGGACGCCTTACCGCCAGCCCAGGCCTTCCGCCTGTAGAGGTCCTCCGCCGTATCCGAGACCTTCTTGATGTTCTCCTGGACCTTCCTCTGCAACATGTGGCTGTGCTCTTTGGAGCCCGGGTGACTGCGGATCCACACGCTCTGCTCAATGTCCTGCACCAGCAGCTTGCCTTCATCGATGGCCGGGTCCACCTTCTCGTGGAAAAATTCGAAGTACCTCTGGTAGGCCACCTGCTGCCTCTGATGGCTTTCCAGGCGGATGTGCTGCTCGTAAGACTCGCTGTTCTTCTCCGGACCCTCCTCGTCTCCCGGCTCGGCCACGGAAGGGGCCACGGCCTCCGCAGCCACTCCTTCAAGTGCCTTCCCGGGGCCAAAATAGCCGTCAGGACCTCGGCTGAACTTCACCCCACACAGGTCACACTGGGTCCTGTCGATGTCGGCCTTCTTAAAGTTCCCGGCCCCGGGCTCCCTGGTCTCCTCTCGGAAGCACTCCGCCTGGGTGCTCACCCTTCTCCTCCAGCTGATGCACAGGGACACGACCAGGCACGCCCTCCTCAACTTGCGCCGGACGGAGGCCTTCCGCTGCTTCCGGGAAAGAATGGCAGCGAGGACGGGGTCTCGGTCTTCTGGCGCCAGCTCGTCCGTCCCGTCCTGGCCGATCTCACACTCGGGTTCAGCAAAGTGGTCCGCGGGCTCCACACTGGGCAGGCGGCTCAGTTTCACCTCCTCGTGGTAGAGGCCGCGGACCACGGGCCCTTTGGCGTGCGCGCTGTCCCACCGCCAGCAGCAGTCCATCAGGTACTCTTCGTCCCGCTCGAAGAGCAGGTCCCGCAGCGCCTCCGCCACCGACTTCGCGTTGCCCGCCACCAACGCCCGCTTCGCCGCTTTCAGGAGCCTCTCGGGCACCCGGTCGGGGCAGTCCCTACTCATCAGCTGCAGCCTTGTCTGGATCTCCTGGAAGTGGCGGCACAGGAGAGGCTTGCAGTACGGCTGTAGGACCTCCTCGGCGTTGAGCAGCATCACCAGGCACAGCACCAGGGTCCGCTCTGCCTCCCCCGACACCACGCGGTCCATCTCGCCGAAGGCGTCGAGCAGGACGTTCAAGTTCCCATTCTCCTGGCCACAGAGCACCTTGACGAGGTAGGAGAGGTGGAACCGGAAATCCCGAATGGCTCTGGCCGCGTCCTTAGGCCTGTAACCCTGAACGATGCAGAACGCGTCCCCGAGCTCCCTGTCCTTCTCGCTGACCAGGAATTCCCAGTAGTGCCAGAGCGCGATGTAGCTCGTGGGGAGGCGGAGGATGGCGTTCTTCCGCAGGCGGGCCAGGACCACCCCGCAGTGGATGAACTGGAGCTCCAACAGGGCCACCGTGTTTCCGATGCTGGGGACGAGCGGTTCCTTGCACCTCTTGACGAGGACGTTCATGAAACGGAAAAAGAGCCTCTTGTAGTCTTCTGGGTTCCTGTACACGTAGAACTGGTCGATGCAATTCTCCAGCAGCCGGATGAAGCACAGGTGGGTCTTCTCGGCACCGTCATCGTCCTCGTTGGGCGCCAACATGCCGAACTTTCCTTCTATTCCCTTCACCTTGCCGCCCCTCCCCCTGGCCCTCTCCTCCTCTTCAGCCTCTAGAGCTTTGAGTTCCCTGTTGTAGTCGTCCTCCTCCTGACGGAGCAGCTTTTCGAACTCCTCCGGATAGCTGGAGGAGACCAGGAACGCCTGCATGGCGTTCAGCCACAGGTCTGTAGACTCCCGGCGGCTTCGCGCCCTCTCGTTTTGAAACAGAAGACGGACGTACTCTTTCAGAGCTGCCCTGTACGACCGAAAGGATTTGTAGTTCGGTTTGAGGATCTCTTTGCAGGCCGTGGGGTTTTCTGACAACACTCTCTGGTGGAAATGCTTAGGGAAGAGGACGTTCAGCAAGGATTTGCAAAGGCCGTACATACAGCCAGACGAAACGTAATCGATTTCTTCGAGTTCCTCCGCTAAGATTTTCGGGAATACTTTCTTGGCTTCCAAAAGCAACCCGCTGATTGCCACCAAGTGTATCTTTGACTGAACCAAACACTTGGCCTCACAGCGCCGCAAGGGCCTGTGGAAATCTTTACAGTTTTCGACCTCACATTTCAGGCCCACGATAAACCTCATACAGACGCCTGCGTAGGTCTTCCCAAGCAGGCTCTGCGTGATCTGACGCAGCCTGCTCAAAAGGTGTTTGTTGAGGGCCAATTTCACCTGGTCGGTCATTACCAAGAAACAGTCTTTTGTTTTCTTCTCTCTCAGGTTCACATCCAGGTCAAGAATGATTCTTGATATGGGTCCAGGGTCGTTCTGAGCTATCTGGCAATACTTGGCATCCACCTGAGAAATCCCAAAAAACTCGAAGCAAGACTTGACCATCTCCTTCTCGGCATTGTTGGTCACTCTTTTGAGGGCCCTGACCAGATTGAGGAGGACTTCCAAGCCCCCCGGAGCCAGGGCCAGGACCTTCTCAGGCTCGACCTCACACTGGCTGGCAGCTTCGTAGAGTGCCTCCACCACTCCCGCCGAGTGATTGAGTGTTTCAAACTTGAAGAAGGCGTCCTTGAGCTTTTGAAAGTCTCTCAGGATGACCCCCTGAAGGAACTGGGCCTCGGCAATGCCGGCCAACTGGTTGGTTTCATAGCAGAGGTCAAGAGCTTCTCTCAGAATGGCCTTGGTATGTTCCACGTCCGAATCCCTGGCCACATTGAGGCGGGCAGCCCCCAGCAGACACGAGGCCTGGAAGTCCTTGTCGGCAGTCAGCTGGGCAGCCTCCAACAGGCAGCCATGTTGCTTCATCAGCAAGGCGGCCTCTTCTCTCCGACCCTCCCCGTTCAGCAGGTCCGCCGCTTCCGCTAGCCGTCTGCGAGACTTCAGGAACACCAGCTGGTCTTCTATGTCCAGCTTCGAGAGGACCGCCATCATCTCCTTGATCTTGTTTGCATTCAGGTACTTTGCTGCGGCTTCCAGGTAAAACTGACCGGCAGAATAAGACAGCTTGGATATGGGAAGGGTCTTGGCCCTCAGCATTTCTTCGTACCTGCAATGACAGACAACCCAAATGTCAGCTCATTACCACCCGGGAGAAAATCTCCTCCAAAATACAGCACAGAGCAAGTCAGACACAAGTCCCACCCACGTGTAGATCTAAATTACAAAACAGGGCCTAAACTTATCCGGCATCTTTACGAGTGCTTCATTTCGCGGGGGCAAAATGAATTCTGTATTCTCCAAAGGAACGAAGCTTTCGTATGTTCAGTTAATGAAATGTTACGGCGTGACGACCTAAGCAAATGGAAGTTAGGTTTGAAAGTCAGCCTGAGAATTTAAAGAAAGAAAAGTAACTAAAATTTTGAGAAGAAAACTAAGTAGATAAATGAAAGTCAATCTGCAGGGCAACGATTATGCATAACCAAAATGATCCCTGTAGAAAAAAAGAAACCCTTACATTTTCATAAAAGCACGATCCTCATTTTGGGCCGACAACCCCACTGAGTTGGAGACAGGACTAAGGAGGAAGGGTGAAGACAGAGCATGACACGCCAGCGTGACATTAACGACATCAGTCTTCCTCTCATCACCCAACCTCTGATTTTTCTCTTCTGCCAGGCACGAGCGTGGTTGATAAGAGTGAGATTAACGAAGCTCCGAATGCTCCCCTTTACTCTGCTGGTCAAAGTCAGTACCTCCCACACTACCAATTTCCAAGGCACTGGAACAATCCAATAAAACATGCGTGCTTCTGAACCCTGATAGGACAAAACCCGTCTCCTCACAACCAGAGAAGTGCCCAGGCTCCTTATGATGGCTCAGAGTTATCCTACAAACATCTGCTTTCCTAGCTTTTCCTCTTCTACGAGAGGTCTCCCATGAAGGGTTGTAAATAAAGATGAAGGAAAGGAGTATACTTCACATGTGAGCTTCGGCTAATGGAGTGGTGAGTACTTTCAGCAAGTGTAAAGAACTCCCCGGGTATTTCCTTTGCAAATCTCCAAGGTCCACAATGTGTTTTGGGTCATGCCAGTTAGCCACTGAATTCTACACTCAATACGCACGGTGCTCAAAGGACACTCGGACAGATCTAACGTGAGTTTCCAGTTAATACTCAGATTACACTTAGATCTCAACTCAACACATAGGAACTCTCAGCTGTATACCTCAATCAAGCTTAAAAAGAATAATGAGAGAAAAATATGTTTCTGGGGAAAATCTGCGACGATTCAATGCTCTGCTGAAAACCTGAGAGCAGAAGTTTAAATAACTAATTAAAACTTTAAAAAAACAACAACCTCTCAGTCAGTTTTGTCATACGACTTCACAAGGGAATTGGTCTGGTCAATTACTCATATCACGACTGCATAGCACCCTGGTAACTACGTGCCCAACAAATGTCACAGCTGGCACCCTTCTATGGAGTGATAGTTTGTGTCCCCTGAAATTCATACATTCGAGCCCAATCCCCAGTGTGGTTGAATTTCGAGATGGGATCTTTAAAGGAAGTAGACTACGGTTAAATGAGGTCACAAAGGTGGAGTCCTGATCCAACAGGATTAGTGTCCTTATAAGAAGACACCAGAGAATGACCTGTCTTTTGCAGTCTCTCTCCATGTGGAAGGGCCAGGGAAAGGCCACCTGAGGACACAGTGAGAAGGTAGCCATCTGTAAGCCAGGGAAAGAGCTCTCAGCAATAGCCCAACCGGCGGAGCCTTGATCTTGGACTTCTAGCCTCCAAAACTAGGAGAAAATAAATTTCTGTTGTTTAAGCCCCTCAATCCATGGCATTTCGTTATGGTTGCCTAAACGGACTACTACATACCCGATGCGTATATCATAAACGTAAGGGTACCAAAGACCCTCACGAAGGAATATGCTCACTTTACCAGCCATGGCACAGAACACCTACTTTTCCATTTCCAAAACTAAAACTCGAGGTACTGGGCACCTTTATCGAGGTGCTGGTGACACAAGTAGATCTATTTTGTGAGAATTAGGTGCACCTTTTTGACTATATATTATACTTTAACAAAAGCTAACTTCCCAAAAACCTGAAGTTTGAACACCTGGGTCCGTTATGTTCATTTTGTCACATGCAGAATTTGGTAGAAAGCAAGGAAAATGTAGAACCAACCCACACCCTGCTTCTCCAGGAGCTGAGAGTAGACTCAAACAGAAACACAGAATAGCGGTCTCTGTCATTCTAGCTGCCCCATACCACCAAGAAGATCTCTTCGGGGCACCAGTAACATGCCGTTTCTGTATTCCTTGTCAACCATTAGCCCTGCCCATCTTGACATCATCTTTGGAATATGAGCTAGATAAAGGCTCGAGAAGGCCTCCAGTGGGTCATGTATGAAGTTTATGAGGGTATGTGAACATACATTTCGTACACATATGTATGACTGCATGGCTGAGGGTCTGCCCATAGATCACGGTGAAGCAAAGGCCTGACTGCCCACTAGTGCACTTACCTTCATCCGTCCATTCAGCGAAATTGCTACCTCAGCAGGTAAGGGTAGAGGACAGAACCATCATTAAGCACAAAATTGCCATGTGTCTTATATACACGCTTGTAACAAACCCTTCATCATCTTCTGCCTCTTCTCATGACACTGAGTCAAAGCTTACAAAGAGAGTAGAATACATTAAATGTGAATATATTAAGAGCGTGTATGTTAAAGGCACTGGAATGGCTGCCGATGAGAGAGTGGGAACGGAGACCGGCCATGACGAGGAAGAGGATGAACAAACTGAAACCAATGGTGACTCTGCTGGGAACTGGAGATTATATTCCACTCTTTTTCCTCCTGCACTTCCCATTCAGCTCCTCGGTTAATCCTTTAGGCTTGGTTCTTGCTTTCAAGGAGCTCTTGACCCAGCACCGAAGCCACCACTCGAGTGGAAGGAGGGCGACACGGGCAGGCCGCTTCAGAAGAGCAGAATAACACCCTCCAAGGCAGGCTGCCCCCAGAGAGCAGCAGGAGGGAGGGAGCGGGGTGGGGGAAGGGAGAGAATAAAACCACCTACTTTTCGGCTGCAATAGCAGCTTCTTCAAAAAGCTCCTGTTCGCAGTACACTTTGAGTGCTAGATCGAATTCCTGGATCTGCTCAAAGCATCTGAAAGCATCTTTGTAGCACTGGCTTCGCTTATAGAAATAGGCCGCATCTTTTATCTAGGACAGAGTAAAATACACTCTTAGAGTATTCATAGCATAACTTTTGATCTTAAAAATAAGCCAATACCACGAACAATATGTCTGCTATTTGTTAGGGCCCAGTGAAAAATGCTGAGACATAGGCGATATTAGGAAACCGATTTCCTTATATAAAATTACATAAAAATTATATATAAAATGTAATACATATGGTATTATACATATTATATATTGTATAGAATTATTTATAGAGAGAAAAATAAAGTTATATCCCAACCTCACACCATATACAAAATTAACCTTCAGGTAGGATAAAGACCTAAATGTGAAAGCTATTGGACGAAAACGTAGGAGAATATCTTTGTGACCTTGAGGTTAAAGAAAGTCTTCAATAAAACGCAAAACACAAACTTCCTTTGATGGAATCAAAACTGCTGAATAAAGGGTATGTGAAATAAAGTTAACAGAGAGAGGGCAAACATGAACATCTAGACCAGCGCCATCAAATAGACCTTGCAGTGAAGATGGAAATATTCTATAGCTATGCTAGCCAATATGGTAGCCACCAAGCACGTGTGAAGAGTCAGCACATGGAATGTGGGTAGCGTAACTGAGGAACTGAATTTTTCATTTCATTCCATTTTCATTCATTTTAACTTTAATTTCCACATGTGGCTAATGGCCATGATATTTGACCAGACAGATCTAGAACATAAAATGGATTCTTTCGACCACAAGAAAAAGACTTTCCTGAAATCACAACAGAAAACTAGGCAAAGGATACAAACAGGCAGGTCACAGTGGGGGAAACTTGAATGACTAACAAATCAATGAAGATGCTCCAGCTCACTGATAGAGAAACGTCAATTAAAACCACAGTGAGGGGGCGCCTGGGTGGCGCAGTCGGTTAAGCATCCGACTTCAGCCAGGTCACGATCTCGCGGTCTGTGAGTTCGAGCCCCGCGTCGGGCTCTGGGCTGATGGCTCAGAGCCTGGAGCCTGTTTCCGATTCTGTGACTCCCTCTCTCTCTGCCCCTCCCCCGTTCATGCTCTGTCTCTCTCTGTCCCAAAAATAAATAAACGTTGAAAAAAAAAATTTAAAAAATAAATAAATAAAAAATAAAACCACAGTGAGATACATCCATGAAATTGGCAAAAATTAGAAAACCAGAGCCCATTGAATGTGGTCAAGAACATGGGGCACCTGGAACCGTCCTACACAGAGTGGTACGGCTGTTCTAGAAAGCAAAGTGGCTTCCACTTTCGCTTGGTGAAATTAA